GTGTTGTAAGATGACAAGACGCAGATGACCTCCCTAATTAGTCTCCATACAGGAAGTCACCAAATGTTGATAGAGCAGGTCAATGGCAATCAGTGACCGGAGATCAAAGAGCATAAATACCAACCATACCTCAGCTATCAGCTGATTCACGACCTCGTTAATTGCAAGGAGGGGGATAGCAACCCATTGGAGTGGAAAGCGAGGGGATTAGTTTACCAACAGTGGAGCAAGACCACCCACTGCTTCTGGACACTTGGCTGACCACTGTCCAGCTGGGGGTTTTGGCTCAACATTCTTTTCGCCCATTCAGACATAAGGAATAGGCAGTTTGGGAATTGTTGACATTGATAGAGTTAATCAAAATGGCAATATTCTATCTTTATTTCAATTAGCCGGGTTATTTTTGAAAACAGGTCACATTGTAACATGCCAGATTTTCACTGTGTGGCTTTAATTGACCGTTAGCAGGTTGACACTGACAGTTTGAGATTAAGGCATGTGTCAATATCGGGTGAAATTGACATATCATGCATGGCTCACATGTAGATGTCCTCCATCACACCTGTCATCCCCACTATCATCATCAGGGCCCTCCTCAATTGCACTTTGACCTTATGATGATGATGATGATGATGATGATGATGATGATGATGATGACGACGATTGTGAAAATGATGCTTAGTAATGTGGGGGTGATAATGATTATGGTGGGGGTGGTTTGTATCCACCCCTGGAATATATAAAAAGAAATAAAATAAAATTCAAAAGAAGTCCAGAACAAATTTTAATTTTTCCTGATCTTGCCAAATCATTCTACACTTGAGTTGTATTTCTTCCAATTATTTCTCCTTATCTACTTGGCTGACTGCAATAAATTCAACTCTTATTGGCCTGAGTTGAATCTTGGGGAACTTCCCTATTGTATATATCTCCGGAACACACTGATAACTAGTATCTGTTCCCCACAAAGCTGTGTGCACCCTGACTGCTCTTGACTGGTGTGCAGAATGGTGTGAGAGTTGTGTTGCAGATAGAGGTCGACCTCTGTTCAACACACCGTCTCACATACAGATGATACAGTTCTGGTACTGAGAATGAGATTGTACAGGTCAACAGACTAGATATTTCATCAGCAAGTGTTTTCACATCCTATTTACTAATTCAGAATATGTCAGATATTTTCTCTCTAAAAGATTTGGTTCCTTGGAAACTTCAAACATGCAGAACTGTTTTTGCAAATTATCTTGCTGTTCTTACAATACAGCATATATGCCTGGCTTTCTTTCTTTCTTGTGAATTTGCACAAAGGATTTGACATTTGAGAAGAATATATGACCAGCACAATTTAGCACAGTTTCAGCAATTTGGAACAATAAGTATTAAAAAGTGTTGAGGACAAAACAAATAGCATTCCTCTTATATTTAACTCAAATTAACATGTGTTTCTTTTGTTCTCATCTTTGAAAAACAAAACTGGATGAATTAAATTCCTACAAATATAAGAATGTCACCTATAAAATGACTAACTCAAGGCTCTTATTGTGACTGGCCCGTGAAGATCCGGGTTAGAATTAGTCTTCAGTAACCCATGCTTGTTGTAAGAGGCGACTAACTTGATTATTTACAGGCTGCCGCCATATAGCTGGAATATTGCTGAGTGCTGAGTAAAACTAAACTCACTCACTCACTCTTATTGTGACTACAATGTTGAGGTTTTTGTATTAGAGAGGTTTCTGTATTAGGGAGGACCAAACCAGCGAGGTTCAAGTAAATATGAAATGAGAACATTCTTTTGTGGTTTCCCAGTTTAACATTTCCCATTAGAAGCTGCTGTTGCATGGGCGTGCCAAATTCTTTCTTCATCCAGGATAAACATCCAGCTCAACATGTGTAACTCTGCATGTGGTTTTCTCAAAACCAAACAATCCTGGACTTTTTACCCAATTTATTCCATGTCTTCTCAAGAATTTCTCCACAGTTTACACTTAACGTGCGCCATATAGTCAACAAATTTACAGATCCATCATCAGTTTCACCAGTCAATCTTGCCGATCAACTCTTATGGCATAATAGAGACTTCAAAGAAAAACCTGCTTTCACACTAACAGACAACCTGCTTCTTTACATTAACCTGTTGGCAGTGGGGTCAATGCCATATATACACCTCTGTGCACTTCCAATTAACCAATCTTTTAAGAGCAGTTGAATTCAACATGGAAACATGCCAATTTGCGCTATCACTTTTGCAAACACAGCCCATCTTTCAACCTGTTTGCAATCTTATAACCAGCCTTTGGCATTTATAGCGCAATAAACACCAGTCAAGTTTGTGGCGATTTTCCCAGAGTGGCAAGATAACGAGGCTAAACATTTTCTCTCAGAAATCTGAACTATTTTCAAGAATTACAGGAACACCACAACATAGAACAAATTATAAAGGTAGATAACCATTTTCAAGGAGATAACTATTTACATCCACTGCCTTCTGATATTTTGGACCTATCTACTTTTATGGGTACGTAGATAGATGCATATTCTCGAATCATTTGGTTTTAATGGCCAGTAAAGATACCAGCATATCAACATTGACAACTTTGAAATATTACAGTGCAGAAACAGTCAGTAAATGTTTTCTAACTTCACACCACTGTCAAGAGTAAAATTTAAATTGGGTTGAGTTGTTGAGATAAGGATAGATTATATTTCTAGTATTTTTAGCAATGTTATGAAATAAAATATTCCGGTAAGGTAGCCAAGTAATAATATGATTCAAACTGATTGAACTTTCAGTATTCAGACATATCACTCAAATTAGTTCAGAGTGAGTGAGTGAGTGATTACACCATGACAACCCTAATTACCCAATGACAGTCCTAATTACTCCATGACAACCCTTGTAACACCATGACAACCCTAATTACTCCATGACAACCCTTGTAAAACCATGACATTCCTAATTACTCCATGAAAGTCCTAATTACTCCATGACAACCCTAATTACTCCATTAAAGTCCTAATTACTTCATGACAACCCTAATTACTCCATGAAAACCTCAGTTACTGTATCATAAACCCTTATAACCCCATGACAACCCTAGTTTCTCCATGACAGCACTCATTATACCATGACATTCCTCCTTACACAAAGACAATGTTAAGACTCACCACTGGACCCAAGGGTGCCAGACCAAGGACCAATGTGCCCCTGTAATCTCTGTAATCAACTGGTAATGTTGACTCTTACATCAAGCATGACCTATTCCACACAAAGGTCACAGATAAGTGTGTGTCTCACCTGATGTCATCTATACAAAGGCTTCAGTTTCCATGCTCGTGATTATTACAACTATTAAACACAGAATACTCCTGTAGTGTATTACAAATAAAATAATTAATTTTAAATTTCGTTTCAAATTTAAATCTGCAAGAAACAAAAACAATCTGAACAACAAGCCATCACTTCACAAAAAATGAGGGCATAATCTCTGAAAATCAAACTATCTATATTCTGTAGCCAATGTACATTAAGCTTAAGAAGAAAAAGTCTATCAAAGCAACAACTCAGTCATAAAGCTCAACCAAATCATTAACATAACAACAAAACAACATGAAACATGACTTGTTGACTTCAATATCTAACTCAAACATTTCCCAGTATTACCACGGAGAGCTTAGCATGTCGTTGTCAGAATCGGCATATCTCAGGTTAAGTTTGTTCCCTCCTTGGACATAATTCATTGTTTGTATGTCCGACCCTCCTGAAGATCAGGAAGGCTCTCGTATAGAGGCTAAATATGGGGGAGCACAATGGACAGGGTTTAGGGTTTGCCACCCTCCCTGGGGACAATAGGGATCATTACGGGGCTGGACAGTACAATGGAAGAATAGGAACATGCTTCAATAAGGATTTGGAGGTTTACAGTTGAGATAAGTTTCTGTGGGTACTATGAACTCGTAGTCTGTTGGTGACTTGTACGTGGCGTACAAAACATTCTCTTGTTATCAGACGATTGTCTGACAGGTTTCGTATGATATGCCAATCAATATTATCTTGCGGTATTAGATGTCATAACTTTAGAAACACAATATTTATTTCCTTACTAGTGAGGAAAAAAACACATGAAAAGTATCTTCATAAACTTTCATTTGTGAAATTAAAATGTTTTGCTATGATACTTACGCCAGACCAATTTAACATTTTGGGCCAATAAAAACATTAGGATTTAATTTTTTGAGCTGGGAAAATTAGTTTTTATTTTTTCTTATTCTTGAAAACAATATGACCGGCGGATCCATAAAACAAGAAATAAAATTGGTCTGGCCTAACTTTGAGAAGTTTTAAAAAAACAATGTGCTAATAATCCTTTTTAATAGGAAGCAGTTTCAAAATAGGAACCAAAGTTTTTCGGCATTTATGTTGACATTGATACCATTTTCTCTTACCTGACTAGTCAAAATGCCGAGTACTGACATCAATACTCTTTATTTATTTTTCAGCTATCGTACAAGTTGGCAGGGAAAACAATAAAACAACTAAAATTGTTCAGGCTTACATAGCTATTTTGGTAAAACATTGCCTGCACAAGTTCCAAACTGCTGAAGTCTTGAATGTACGTTGAACCTGGTGATGTGATTCCTGGTATCACAGACAGACATGAAGAAGGCAAACATCTTAGATATGTATGATTCACTTAGATATCCAGAGTTAAGTTGACACACATCAATAAAGAGTTTCAACTTCCCAACAATCTCACAAGCTATCCCCTCACGATTTCCGTTCCCAGCCGTAAGAAAAGCCGTAAGAAACGGACACATTCAGCAAGGAAAGTAAGTTTATAAACACAACAAGTTGATCCCAAGTTTCAAATTACAACGCTGAGACACAACCTTTCGCCATAAACAACAAATCATTGAACGTTTGGATACACAAAAAATCATGTCTCAAAGAACTCACAAAGAAGCTATAGTGAAAATGATAAATCTGCAAACAGTCAACTCACCAGATCCAACAACAAAGTTCAGTTTGTCCACTTATCAATACAAACACACTTTCAAATGCGAGAATAAATCCTGCCACCACCTTGGAAAGGAATACAGTCTTTATCAGCTCAGTCTGCTGATACTCGGTTCTTAGAAACTGCTTCCACAGTGAGAGAGAGAGAGAAGCTAGATTCACAGCAAAAGTTGTCTGTCTCCCTGGTTGTCTGTGCATGACCCCGAGATCACCCCCGACCTGCTATTGTATCACTTCCCCCTTGGTGGGGCTGTCAGAGCTACGAGGTACATCACACATGATCACAGAGCCGGTCAAGGATTACCCACGCCTCTGGTGCACTGGGCTACTGAACCTCTGGGGGGACCATCAAGCACCTTGCAGGAGGAGGGAGGGACCATCAGGCACCTTGCAGGAGGAGGGACCCATCAGGCACCTTGCAGGAGGAAGGGGAGAGCAGGTACCTTGCAGGAGGGGGGACCAGGAACTATGGAGGGGGAGGACTGACTGACTGAGTTTAGTTTTACGCCGCTTTTAGCAATATTCCAGCAATATCACGGCGGGGGACACCAGAAATGGGCTTAACACATTGTGCCCATGTGGGGAATCGAACCCGGGTCTTCGGCGTGACGAGCCAACGCTTTAACCACTAGGCTACCCCACCGCCCCTGGAGGGGGAGGAGGTGGCTGTGACATGATGAGGAAATGATTCAAAAGGAAAACGAAAGATTCTAGTGACTTCTGCACTAATTTGTCTTGTGTCTTTTAGTTAACAGCAGAGACTATATAATAATCTGTGTTATATGGTCTGGTAACAGTGTTTCAGTTTATAAAGACAATTTACACAGACCGAAAAACAAATGAAAATGATTACTTTATACTTTATATTTTTATGACTGTTCCTTCTTTAATGAATTAAAATAAGAAATCCAACATAACAATACAAAATAAACTACAGTAAACTAGGTTGATAAAAAACACGCTGAAAACAAACTGATGGATGTAGCAAACTATTTGTTGGTCCTGGTCACTTTGTGTCCATGATAACCCTTGTTTATAGTAATTTCTTTGTCCATATGCACTATACATGTTCTCTGACAACATTTTAACTCCTCACTATAAAACAAATCCTTCTCAGAAGCTAGTGAGGTGAGGTGAAATTGGGTTTAATGTCGTACTTGAGAATATTTCGCTCATATGACAACGTGCATGCGTGTGTATGTATGTGTATGTGCGGCTGCTTGTACTAGCCCAGACTTAAGCTGGTTTTATAGTGCTAGCCCAATGAGATACCATGCCGCAGTGAAGCATGAATACCCCACTCAGACACATTATACTAACTCCGAGCCGACCAGTCCTTGTTGTACCCATTAATGCCGAGAGCCAGGCAGGGACCAACAAGTACCATATTTTAAAGTCTTTTGGTATGACGCGGGCGGACGCTCTAACCACTACACCAAGGAGGCGGTCACTAACGTATACTGGTAGTCTCTGAATATATATAATTTTGGAAACAATAATTCCTCTTAAATTGAAAAGGAGCCCCAGTGAGATGGGAGATTCAGAGCCTGAGAAATTTAGACTTGCTTCATTTCGGGCTTTAATATCATTGCAGAAAGGGCAGACGATACAGTACACATCCAGCAGTAATAGTCTGATGGCTAGTTTGTTATTTAACACCACACTCAGCAAAATTCAAGCTATATGGTCTGTAAACAATCCAGTGATTAACAGCATGAACATCAATCTACGCAATTGGATTACGATAATATGTGTGAACAGTAAGCGAGCTTAACCGTCCAATCCCATTAGTCGCCTCTTACGACAAGCATGGGTTATTGAAGACCAATTCTAGCCCACAGCTTGCAGAAACCAGCCAAATAGGTAATACACAATCGATAAGTATTGATGATAAGTTCTGAACTGACCCATCCAAGCATCTTCATGCAATATTGAGCAACCAAAACTGAGTGGTAGCTAAATCTGAAAAATATAAAATATATATAGAATATGTGACCCTAATTTATCACATTAAAACAGAGAGAGCACCTTGTGTGAACCATTGATGAAGCTGGGAGGAGTCAGGAGGTACGGCTTCAGCATCTTCACCTGTAGGAGTGAGTGAGTGAGTGAGTTTAGTTGTACTCCGCTTTTAGCAATATTCCAGCAATGCCATGGTGGGAGCACCAGAAATGGGCTTCACACATTTTACCCATGTGGGGAACCGAACCTGGGTCTTCAGCATAATGAGCAAACGCCTTAACCACTAGACTACTCCACCACCCCTTGGCTAGGACAGAAGCAAAACTCTTACAGAAATAACTAGACTATGTGATTGGTCAGTCACCAGCCTGCAAAAGACAACTTCCAAGCAAATACTTCTTAAAGATCTCACTTCTCTCATTTTTTTGCAACTGATTATAAATACATAAATGCAAACTCACATAACATATACTAACTTTTCAGTTCTTGCATAAACTCTTCAAAAATTATTTGTAGAATTATACAAAGTCCTTTCAAAATGTTCAGGAAAGCTAATTATAACTTCTAGAATTGACTACTATAAATTCTCACTTCTCTCATTTTTTTGCAACTGATTATAAATACATAAATGCAAACTCACATAACATATACTAACTTTTCAGTTCTTGCATAAACTCTTCAAAAATTATTTGTAGAATTATACAAAGTCCTTTCAAAATGTTCAGGAAAGCTAATTATAACTTCTAGAATTGACTACTATAAATTTTGTGTCATTGAATATTTGATATCTAACGTCATGTTAATACTTGATGTTATTATGTGCCACTCAAAAAAAAATGATAACAAATGGAAAAAGAGAAAGAGGTGTTACAGAATTTTACGAGTTTACATTTAGTGTCTAACCTTCTGCCATTGGTCATTTGGTCTTGCAGTGTTCATTTGGTCTTGTAGTGTTCATTTGGTCTTGTAGTGGTCATTTGGTCTTGTAGTGTTCATTTGGTCTTGTAGTGTTCATTTGGTCTTGTAGTGTTCATTTGGTCTTGCAGTGTTCATTTGGTCTTGTAGTGTTCATGCTGGACCATTCACCTCAAGAATGTCCCTAGCAGCTTGCTAGTGAAACATGTAAATCCTTCTGTTGTATGGGCGTGGTTTAGTCTAGTGGTTAAAGCGATCTCTCGTCACGCCAAAGATCCAGGGCTCTGTTTCACAAAGCTATCGTAGCGCTACGACTGTCGTAAGTCTGTTACACTATAGGAGATATGAATGCTACGAGAAAAGTTACGAGATCTTAGGCTTATGAGAGCTTTGTGAAACGGACCGTGGTTTGATTCACCAAATCTGCACAATGTTTGAAGCCCTGGCATTTCTGGAGTCCCCTGCTGCAATATTGCTGGACTCTTGCTAAGAGCGGCATAAAATCACACTCACTCAGTCATTGACATTATGCTGTGGGTCAGCCATTATAAGGAGGGTGTGTCTGTGGGTTGATCTGGCGTGGACAGAAGGGTTAATCCTGAGGGTGTCAGTTACAGCAGGGATGTGTCTGTAGGTTGATCGGGCGTGGACAGAAGGGTTAATCCTGAGGGTGTCAGTTACAGCAGGGATGTGTCTGTGGGTTGATCGGGCGTGGACAGAAGGGTTAATCCTGAGGGTGTCAGTTACAGCAGGGATGTGTCTGTGGGTTGATCGGGCGTGGACAGAAGGGTTAATCCTGAGGGTGTCAGTTACAGCAAGGGTGTGTCTGTGGGTTGATCGGGCGTGGACAGAAGGGTTAATCCTGAGGGTGTCAGTTACGGCAGGGGTGTGTTTGTGGGTGATGGTGTGGACAGAAGGGTTAATTTTGTGGGTGAAGTATGTCAGTGATAGCAGGGTGTATTTCGGAAGGGACAGTGTTTGGACAGAAAACATAATTCTGTGGGAGGGGCATGTCAGTCGTAGGAGCATTTGTCTGTGGCTACTAAGGTGTGTTGAGAGAAGGAGTAATTCTGCGGGATCAGCACCAGGACCTCAATCTTTAATGCGATCATAGCGCAAAGATATCGTAAATCATTGTATCAGAGCTACAGCTCTCTTTGTGCTACAATTATCGTAACTCGATGTTACCATATGGGAGCTACCACTGTCTTTGTGCTACAATTATCGTAACTCGGGGTTACAGTATGGGAGCTACCACTGTCTTTGTGCTACAATTATCGTAACTTCGGGTTACAGTATGGGAGCTACCACTGTCTTTGTGCTACAATTATCGTAACTCGGGGTTACAGTATGGGAGCTACCACTGTCTTTGTGCTACAATTATCATAACTCGGTGTTACAGTATGGGAGCTACCACTGTCTTTGGCTATGACTAACGTAAGTCTATGTCACAGTGTAAGAGCTACAGCAATCTTTGTGCTACAATTATCAAAACTCGGTGTTACAGTATGGGAGCTGCCACTGTCTTTGCCTACGACTAACGTAAGTCTATGTCACAGTGTAAGAGCTACAGCTCTCTTTGTGCTACAACAATCGTAACTCGGTGTTACAGGACAGGAACTACCACTGTCTTTCGGCTACACTATCGTAAGTCTATGTCACAATCTGAGAGCTACAACTGTCTCTGTGCTATAATTAATGTAAGTCTATGTCACAAAGTGAGAGCTACGACTGTCGTAACTCGGTGTTACAGTATTGGAGCTACAACTTTGTGCTACTACTAACTAAAAATTGCGAAAACATCAGCTTTTCATGTTGACTCCCTCGATTCAGGACGTGCCAAAAAGATCACCATATTTTTACACTACAACTGTCTGCCTTAATTGACATCCTGTGTAGACATATTTAGGGGCAGTAGATGCCAGGCTTAGGTCTCAAACATGTTTATTTCCAGGTTAAAGTGTCGAAGTACAATTTATTTATCCATATGGTGTCAGTCTGCCCCAGGATCAAGGGAACTTTTCCCAGGTCGACCTCCACCCTAGCAAGGTCATCAGACTCACAACAAACATGCATGACCCTGCTACTTCAGGTCAGGTTCCTCTCATCCTGCAGAAATCATGAGTAGTTTTCAGGACAGCACTACATGGGTACAAAGTGTGAAGCCCATGGTATCCACTGCCATAGTTGGAATATTTCTAAAAACAGAGTAAAACCATACTCACTCACTCACTCACTCACATGCAGTGTACATGTTAAGCGGGAACAAGCAACAGTCTCTTAATCAGGGGCTACTTCTAACAGTTATTATTGTAAAATATCTCATACATTTTCATGATAATTTTGAAGTATTGATATCACACTCC